CCCCCCCCCCCCCCCCCCCCCCCCCGGGAATAAACCAGCGGACGCCCATGGACCGAAGCGATTGATGCAATAGCGGGGAGCTTTATGTTGACTACCCTGTACGCCCAATCTACAGTGGTGAAGGTGTTGGGAAAGTCTTACCTACACTGTCGACTGTATGGGAGTGCTCTGGAATCATAATAAAAAGTTGGCTCTTAAGAGAAAGGGTAATAGAAAAGTTCTTACTGACGGTGTCCCCACATGATACCGACTTCCCTATTACCAAATTTACTCCAACTTTATTGTTTGTGTTTCCGCATCAGTGGAAATTTGAAAGGAGTGTCAGAGGCTCGACCGAAGCGATTGATGCAATAGCGGGGAGCTTTATGTTGACTACCGTGTACGCCCAACTCGAAAAAATGCAGTCCTTTCTCATTAGTCGTTTTCACCAGTCACGAAGGAGGGCCTACCGAACTCGAGTGGAGTGGAATGAACGTTCGAAAGGTGTAGTTTTCGAGGAGTCGAGGTGTAGACCCAGCCGACTTTAGTATTCGTGTTTTTTACTTAGGAACCTAGAGGCTGACTCACCCAATGTGATCGGTAAGAGAATTTTGCTCGATCGTGAAGGAACAATGAAGACGGAATCGATTTCGTTCTGTAGTATTCTTTAGTATTCCTCACGTACGATATTACTTTTCTTGCTTTTTGCTTTAGCAATTTTACCTCTAGTCGTTCTTGACAATGAATTTTCATCGATTCTTTCAAAATACGCGAACTTGCACACGTATGAAATCTTTTCATACGAATTTCTTTGCTGGATTTGCAGAAATCGTAAAGATTTGAGAAGAATGCATCGTTCATTTCCTCTGAATTCGCCTGTTCCAAAATGGACGAGCATCTCGACCACTTTCTGAAAATCTTTCTCTTTCTGCTCGCATTTCAGGTATAAACATGTGACATATTCCGATAAGGTAAGATAAGGAAAGATAACCTATTTGCGAAAACGACGCGACCGAGGGAGTTTCAAGTCTTAGCACCAAGCCTTATGGATTGCGAGAGCTAATTCATTCCCGCATTTTACAGTCTGTTGAGGTCATTCACAATATCAAAGATCCAGGATTGATTCCTGGGATGTCCCATTTACTTCCCAAGCAGGATATTTGGGCAAATCCAGAGGATGTGTGCAGCACAATTCCTCCAGCGAGATTCGAGTTTTTCTCGACTGTCTCCTTACAAAGCTTTGATATATCTATCCTGGGATGTCCTATTTACTTCCCAAGCAGGATATTTGGGCAAATCCAGAGGATGTGTGCAGCACAATTCCTCCAGCGAGATTCGAGTTTTTCTCGACTGTCTCCTTACAAAGCTTTGATATATCTCCAAAAAAAAAACAATCTCATTGAGTTATTTTCCATCGCTTTTCCATCGCTTTCTTATTATGCTGGTATTGGTTGCCTGTGAACCCTTCCACTGACAGATGGAAATTTAAATCTTTAACCTCCTCCTGGAACCTATTTCATGGAATTAACAAGCCAACAAGTTTACAAGTTACAAGTGATTCGCTTGTAATTAAAAGTTCCTTCATATTCTGTTCCATATAAATTTACAATGTGAGGTGCAAATACCCCTTTCCGAAAAAAAAAAACAGCGGTGGAGGTCAGGATTGGCAAGCGCGGTCATCCTCCCAGATCCCGAGATCGGCCTATGGGGCACCGGTCTCTCACTCCCTCACCCTTGTCTTATACTTTTCCTGCTACTTCACCAATACTCTAACATAGAGCAGTCGGTGTACAATGGATTACGAAGCCATCGTTCTTTCAGTGAAGAGGCAGTTGTATATTAGCTGTCGCCTTCCTAATAATTACGGTAATGGCATTGACATCATATGCCGTATCTGTGAGATATCTGAGCAAACGGGGAGGAGATGGTGGGGTGAATTTCGCATGACTAGTCAGGTGCGGGATGGGAGAAAGGGTGAGAGTGGGCGGAAGAAAATAATTGACATAGAAATGTTTCTTTCACCATTGACAAGTGATCTCGACCGATGAGATCATCGCCTCAGTGAGGCAAGTCGATACCCAACTCTGATAGGCTCTGCCACAAAAGCCTCAAGTTTTGGAAGAAGCAGTGCAGGTAGCTGTGCGTAGGGACCTACGGTACATGTCGCTCGAGGATGTTCGTCAGAGAAAAATTGAAGCCGATTGTCCTCATCTCCTGGATCTCAGAGTAGATTGCGCAGCATGGTTTTTTTTCTTTCAGAGAGGTAAAAAAAAAGCATATAATCTTTGTTGACGAAAATGGACCTCATCTGTGACTGTCGAACAGAGGGTTGATCTATAATGGGTTCAAGATGCAGAAAGAAAGTTGTCACCCAGAAGGGTACAATGTTACCATGGTGTCTGCGAACTCCTTGAAAGAAGGCTTACTCCATCATACCTTCCTCGAGAGAGAGGACTTACTTGTGACAGGTTTCAGGGCTTCCTTTCTGAAACGCCTAACCTGTGTGTGTGAACCTGGTTTGTACGAGCAACTGCTAGATGGCTCACCCGATACCCGTCCAAGTAGCATAGATTTTAAAAATTTAAGTTCTAATGACCTTTCAATTAATATCCTTCAGACACTTCAGTAAAGTTATCGGTAATCATATAGTTCCTTAATTGAGCGCTCGAGAGCTGCTTCTTCATGAATATTGAACTTTTCAAACCTCTTTGTGCACAAGCTGAAAGTTTTCTCGAAAGTTCTTGTACTGCTTGGGAGTGATCGAAGATCTCTCCGGACGGGCTATGACCACGTGCTAAAGGAGGGAATGAAGAATGGCATCAATTCCTTTACTTGGTTTCTTTCATACATGGATTGAGTTCATACTGCATACTGAAAGGAGAGTGATTATGTGCTTTCTTCATGGAGTAGCCCAAGACCAGAAGGCCCCGAAGAAAAAATACTGAATGATAATACTGATGAAATCTTCATCGCAGAACCGGTTTGCATAATGTAAGACATCCAGTTTGAAGAGAGAGAAGCATGAAGCAGCTACGTTGCAGAAAGTTTTAGAGCGGAAGGTTTCAACTGTATTCATTTCGTGGAACTTCTGCGACGCATATGAATAAAAGCGCTTCTCTCACTTTCCCAACGATCTCCTGGAAAATGTCGAGGGGTAGCTGGAGCGGAACTCATTCAGATGCGATTCGTACCATTTACGAGGGCCTTTCAGAAAGCTCAGGGCATGATATTAACATTTTCATATACTGTACACAGAAGCTACAAATTTAATATCTTGACATCCCCTGAACATACAAGTATTGTATACTGAGTATACAACATACTTGTATTATCTGCTGTCCACACACCGTTACGTCTTCATCAACCTCTTACGAAAGCGTACGCGTTACTCTGAGGTACATTTCAAAGCTCTAAATTTACATGACAGGCTACGTTTCGCAAAAACTCCCTTCCAACAAGCCTTGATATAACTGGAAACTACTGCGCGGAAAATTTGTCTGGTGACCATATGGTAACTTTGGCAACAAAAAAAAAGAAAAAATACTTTCAGATAGTCTTGCTAGAATGGGTGTGGCTGACGAGGATGTAAAGGTGAGTGAATATTAGCGAAGAACATATTCAAGGCAAGTTCATGCAATTTTCGTAGGCCATAGATATGATATGTGCAGCATGGTGAGGAGACATGGGTATGTGATTAAATTCCTCGATCTCGTGGTAAAATGAGTGAGGATAATAAATGCAAGAGAGAGAAAGGGGCGTTTCGTAGAAAACCGACTCACTGACAGATCCGTTTCATTGAAAACTGACAAAACGTCAGACAATACGTGTCAACACTGATCGTGGGTAGTTTATTCAGATCTGACAATTTCGGGACGCCACACATTTGGTCGAGTGCAGCTGCAGTGTATAGCGTCTGGACCATCATTAAAGGAACTTGTGACTTTCACATTCTACCGTGATACATGGCCATGTATTCAATGCAAAAGCGAGAGAAAAGAAAGGATTGCTGGCGCTGCATCAAAGGGAAGTGCTTAATGAAATGAAATGGGAAGCCAAGTGTGGAGCCATGCCCGCTAATTTCACTTAGGAAATTAAAAGCTAGGTTTAAGCCGTTACATTTCCTGAGTATGGCTCGGCCTTCTCTGCATTGCGAACTATTCTAGAATGGTGTAGTGGCGGATACACCTATCAGGACATTTTTCTTCAATACAATTATTTTCTAAATCGATTGAGGATGGTTTAGAAGTGAGATGCACGACACTCAAGGCCCCGCCTCTGCTACACTTAGCCGAATGTGATGTTTAGAAACTTTCAAAATGAGAATTCAAAGTGCTTGCATTCTCTAAATCGGTACCGAAACACTAGCATTTATTCGGCAAAATGGTCCCATTTATGCGAAAGAGTCATTACGCGAAGCGATTTTCTGCTAAACGCCCCCAATCCGAGTGAGAATCTTCGGAAGAGTCGAAATGAAACGTGGTGATAGAAGGTTATTTAACATCTCCAACAGCAGCTGCAGTTTTCTCGTTTTCATGACTTGTTTGAGAATGACTACAGTGGGCCCTTTTTTAATTCACATAAAATCTACGTATAAAATCTCGTATTTTCCTCCACAAACAAAGATACGTAAAACTCCTGCTAGAAAAAGATATCATTTAATATAACTGACAGTCATCCCTAACCCCGCCCCCCGGAATTCAGATTCTGAAATCATCATCTAAAAATGAAATTACTAGTATTATTTTGTGGAAGACACAAATGCGGCTGCAAGAACTGAAGGAGTTGGCCATGGATAGAAAATGCTGGCGAGACCATGTCCATTGGGTCACCCGACTAAATGGATAAAACACACACAGTATTATTTTGCCCTGCGATTCTTATCATGAACCAATCGTGACCTCCAGAGGATGCAGGAACACTAAAATGAGCGACTTTGGACTTTGACCAGGCTTGAGAGAGACACGAGACCCACCACTGTGCGATTCACTTGAAGGAGAATGGATGTGGAATTTGACAACGACTGAGGGTATACTGGAACCATGTGTGAACACCGAAGGAGCTATTCCTCAATGGAAGGTGTGTTCGCATTATTCCCCACTTTGTCCTTACATTTTTTCTCCAGATGAAAACAGGGTTATTTTCTCGCTCCAAGATATAAAAATTCCCCTCGCGAATGTGTTTCGCTGAACAGACCTGTCTCGCATTCCACAGGCTTCATCCGCGATGGAAAGTTTTCCCTGCAAGTTTTATCAGTAAGTCAACTTGCAGTAAAATATTTACAGGTGATGAATTTTGGAAAGGTTCTGGAAGGAATCTTTTGGAGTTTTTTTTTCAAGCAAACTTTTTATCTTGCAACATTCTGATCAAGTCTATGCAAGAAAACTATCTGGTATGAACGAGTCTTAGAGTTTCTTACATGCAGGTTGGCACGAAGGCATTCACATTTTGTAACTTGGACAAATACATTTTTCAAGGGACAGTTGGATCCAGTTATACTTCACAGAGAGGTTCATGAGTCTAAGAGGTTTTTTCACTTCCGCAAGATGGCGCTGTATCTCGATAGAGGGCGCTGTCGTTGACCGGGTGTCGCGCATTCAATGCAGTTTTTTTGTTGCATTTATGAAACTGTGTTTCTCCCATAGAAAACGGTAGGGCGTTTTTATTTTAATGTTAACCACCCTATATAATCGAAGAACGAAGTGTATAACTCTCCCTGCCCCGTGGGCGTTCCAGACGTGTCCATATGTGAGTGATGCTAATTGTAATCTGACTCCTATTGTTATAGTGCCGGTGAGATTCGTAATGAAATACGATATGAAACTCGTATAATGAGAGAAACAAAAGTTATGTTATATGAGAGACTGCTGACCAGAATAAGGGTCCAACTGGGTGGCAAAAGAGGAGGACGGATCACATCCACACGCACGAGGGGTGATCGGAAAGTGATCGGAAAAAGACAAGGCCTGTAGCTGCGAACGCAACTTATTTTAGAGCCTGTTACGCATGTATTGTGGTCGTACCTACCCTACACTACTTTTCCACATAGTCACCACCCAGTTTGAGACACTTTTCTCATCGAAAAGAACCAGCTTTTCCACGACATCCTCATATCATTGTGTCCTTTGCGCGTAACCACTCTCGAACCGTATCTTGAACCGCAGCATCTGTAGTGAAAACACGTCCGGCGAGGTGTTTTTTCTCAGGCTCGGAAGTCGCTGGGCGCGAGATCGGGACTGTATGGAGGATGATCGTGGACACAGGATCCAGACACAGGAGCTATTGAGGAGGTTTGGATGGGAAGTCCTCGCAGTCCCAGTGTCCCCTCCATCCTATTGTATTGTAGTGTTCTCTTTAACGAGAGTCTTCGAGGAATAATCATGAATATGCCCTAAAGGGCTCCAATCTGGTGATTTTGAACTTGCAGGATTTCCTATGGAACATCCTCCGGAACAAAACGTCGGACGTCATCGAGATCATCTTTACGGAGGAGGATTTCAGCCCCGAGGAAGGAACCTTCGTGTTGAAAGTGGGCAGAGGAATCAAGTATGAAATCCCATTCTGGAATGATGAAACAGTTCTGTATAAATTCGATGGCCCTGTCTCGGAAAATACATCGGTGTACGTGGAAAATGATGATGCCTGGATTCATTTATACACCAGCAGAGTCACGAGGCCCTTCAAAATCTTCTACTTCGTCATAGATGCCAGTCTGCTTCTCCTTCTCTTATTTATTTCCATCAGTTGATGAAAGAGGCTGAATGATTCAAGCGATGGGTTCATTTGCTGGGAAGGTTTCGTGACCCAGGAGTTTCATGTGACCGGGCTCAACGGCACGATCGAATACAGAGAGGAAGATCCGGTGATCCAGATGCCGAAACGATACGTCTGGCATCTATCTGGACCTCCAGGGACGGGATGGGACTTCCAACTTCAATACCTGGATCTCAATGGCGGCCAGAATGAATTCCTCTACATCGGCGGCGGTTTGTGACACGGATGGGCGCTGAGTCTCACCCCTAGACCCCTCGTGACTTTTTACGCTTCACATTTCTCTTGTACCAGGACGGGAGGTGCAATCAAGTCGAAGCGGGATGATTTTAAGCAACAAGGAGATGCAGAACAAAAGAAGCATTCGTGTGGCAACCAATGACGCCGTCGTCTACATGGTCATCCCCGTCCGCACAACTGAATGGATAGGCGGTTTCTCTCTCCTCTTTACCCGATACGGTTCGCTCTCCTTGTCTCTCACTTGCGTCACTCGATGATGATGTCAATTGACAGTCGGCTTGTGATGGAGCAGGGAACGAGACCGAGATGACGACGACGACGGAAGAGCCATCGATGTCGGTGTTGCCGATCCCCTCTGGAGATCCTCCATCTATCACCGTGCTACTCCGTCATCCCAAAAGGAAACTCCAAAATCTCGTCACCACTACTTCTTCCTTCACGTTCGCCATCGTCTTCCCATTTCCCATCCTCTCATTCACGATCCCCGTGTTTTCTTTTCCAGACTGCCCATGACGCAGAGACGTGGATGTTTTTCCAGAATCTGACCAAGGAGATCGCCAGAGCGTGCGAAGACTACGTGAAGGAAAACAATCTGTCGAGCACGAGCATCACGTTCGTTACATTACGTTGTACATCGCAAGGGTTGTTCCCTTCGTAAAATCGGTCCCACGATGACCGGAGGTTCGAACCCAAAAGTGAAAAAAGGAGACGCATTTGGTGTTTGCCTTAATTCGTGGCTCCACGAGTTTCTAAGACCAAACGATAGATTTTTGGTCTTGGTCCGTGTCGAATGACGTCGCAGGAATGCAGTCCTGCCCGGGAATCGGTCCACCGAGCGAGATGGACTCGCTGGACCCATCTCCCTACGAACCGATGCCAGTGCAGTAATACCGCTGATCGTTGCCTGGTTCCTCCTACGGGTCCGTACGTGGCTCGATGGCATCATGATCTAAACCCATGGTGTCCAATACGTTCGCCACTCGCCACATTTTACTTTGTATTTTACTGTGTATCAGTCTTGACTAGGGCTGTCACGATAGATCGATGCATCGATACCACTATCGATAGTTGGAGATATCGATAGTTTTTTCGACCATCGCGATGCATCGGCAAAATATTTTAAAGGGGAAATGTCCCATGGGATTGAGGCGAGTACTGTACAATACAGTCCGTCCGGGCGGGGAAAGGAAGAAGCGGCGTGACCCGCATGGGCGAGCAATTTCTTATCACAATCAAATTCTGGAAATGCTGGGACTGACTATAAGAAAGACGGGAAGGGAAAAAAAANTGGGAAATGTCCCATTATATTGAGGCAAGTACAGTTCAATACAGTCCGTCCCGGCGGGGAAAGGAAGAAGCGGCGTGACCCGAATGGGCTTGCGATTTCTTATCACAATCAAATTCCGGAAATGCTGGGACTGACTATATGAAAGACGGGGAAGGGAAAAAAAAAGGTTGGATCGGAGACAGGAAGTGGGAAAGGAGAGGGGGGGAAGCCCAAGAATATTTTTTTTTAATCGTCAGTTTCAGTCTCCGGCTCGATCTCATGAGGTGCATGCTGCGGAAGTGGACTGTTCTTATACTTCCTTCATTTCGAAACGGACATTGGTTAATTCTCTCTCTATATTCCTGTCTATCACTTTAGTATGCAGGCTTAACTTTCTTAATTCTTAAATTGCCTTAGGGCGTTTTATACTTGGGGCGTTTTTCTACCTGAGGTGAAATCAACGTGAATGTGGACGTTGCTTATTCTAGGGTTGTACCGATGTTTCGGCAACCGTCGGTTTGGCACAATCGGCAGGTTTCCTATCTGTCGGCGCCGATGTCCAAATACAGTGTAGAACGAAGAAAATTTGGGCTGCCCTGATGCATCCATCGATGGATGGATGTCATCTTCGATGATTGGTTGCATGGGTGATATGGTTGACGGATAGCATGGTTGGTTTCATTACTCTTTGCGAAGGTCACACCTTCCCCTTGCACCCCAGATTACAAGCGTGAGATATCAATAATAAAAGCCGGATAGACGTCCGCTCTCCGATCGCGGCGAGGAAAGATGGAATCCTCTGCCCCCCCCCACACATTCCCCTTGCACCCCCGATCACAAGCGTGAGATTATGGAAACCGGATAGAAGTCCGCGCTCCGATCGCGGCGAGAAAAGATGGAATCCTTCGGACCCCCCCTCCGATGCATCGATACACTATCCATAGTTTAGGTCGATGCATCGATGTTTTGAAAACTGCTATCATGACAGCCCTAGTCTTGACTGATGACGATTTACAACCTTAAACCTACTTTCAAAAGATTGCGCATTCTTTTTATTAATAATGCATATACTCGTATTTTGTATAATTTGGCGAATATGGTGACCTGATCGCCACAAGTTTGGCGAGCATCGAAATCCTATTAGACACTAATGGTTTAAGTCAGGGGTCTTAAACTCGCGGCGGCATATAGGGCATTCCATGCGAATGTGGCCCGCGGGGCCGGGAGTTTGAGACCCTTGGTCTAAGCGAATCGTGAGGTGCGGTGGGCTATCCACTGCCTCGAGTTTCACCCCCGAAGATCTTTCCTCCTATCTTCATGTGAGGGATTCGATGAGAAATTTCTACTACTATACTAGTACTGGTAAGTTGTCGTAGTAGCCAGTTACGCCCTGATTCTACTGAAACTATTCCCCTTTGTCTTCGACACGATTCCCAATGGTTTCTCACGCAGATCTTAGCGAAAGACAATGAAATTCCTCAACACAATTTCTGAAGAGACCCCCCCGGGAATACTCCAGGCAATTCCGGTCTGGAGGTTGAGAGGAAGATAGTTCTACTTTGCACCTTGGTTGTTGTATGCTTTCGGCTCTAAACAAAGAGATTGAAGGTTGGTGTCTACTCCCAGGCATCAATTGACATCCTCACTCCTGCTGCCGGGGCCAGTGGCGTATTTTACAGGGGGGCAGGTGGGGTAGCCGCCCCCCCTGGCACCCATAGGACAGAGCCTGGCGCCCCCTAGGAATAAGTAATTTTCTCACCTGATATCACCAGGGTGGGGTTTGGCGCTCCCGCTCTGTGACCTTCCCCCCCTGACCCTTCAGCCAAAATTCGCCATTGGCCGGGGTCCATTGTTCCGGCAGAGCGAAATTGCCTTTATGAAGGCAATCCTCTCCATTTCAGAACTGTCTTTGTAAAGACATTCTCTCACTGTTGACTCATTTTCTTCTCTTTTTTTCACTCCTTTTTCTAGCCTCTGCTCTCTGTTCACCAGACTCTCTCTCCCTAAATCTCCCCCCCTCTCACCAGGCACAGAATGCCTGGTAAGAGGAAGACTCGTAAGAATCGGTCCCCGTCTTCCTCCCCCTCCCCACAACCCCCCGTGCCTACACTCCCTCGGCCGAAACGTTAACCCTCTCCATCTTCCCATGCCAACTCCAAACCTGCGTCGTTAGCCTCTGAATCCATACGCTCCCTCAAAAATGCTCCTAATCCGAACGCAGCAATCCCTGTCTCTCCCCACTCGCACACCTCGCCGTCCACGCCTGCAAATTCCTCCCTGCACAGGAGCAATTCACCAGTCGCCCCAGCTCAACCTCAGACAGCCACTAGTAGTTCTCTTTTTCAAAACCCCCTTTTAGTGAATTCTCTCCCCCCGAAATACCAACAGAGGATCGCGCCTTCATGAGCGCCTTCCCTAAGGTGCAATTGCTCGACATCAAGCAAACCAGCTCTGCAGGATTTGTCCTCAGCCTTGCGAAACCTTCGGACATTGCTCGCGTCGCCAGCAAATGGCCCGAATCAGGGATCGGCGGAGAAGCCTTCCCTGCGCGAGCTAGGACCCCGCTATGCAAATTCGTCATTAGAGGCAAGGACCTCCAAGAAGACAGGAGCAATGATCATATCACGGACTTTCTTAACCATCGACCTAGTACTCACAGATTTTAGCTTTTTTTGACTGGGTTAGGATAGCCAAGATGAGCTGCCAACCGCTTCTCGCCAATGTTGTTGATTACTTTGGATTTTGATCCGACTGAAACAGGCCATCTGCGATTTTTACATTTCTTCTGAATCACCCTGCAGGAGTTCCCTCCATGGAAAGGGTTCGTATGGCTGTTTCGACGTCTTTTGCCAATGGTTTCATTGCGAATTGAATTTTCTCACAAAGGGACTTGAAAATAACTTATTAGAAAGTAGGTTCAATAATGGAGCATGGTCAATTGTTTCATCTAATGGCAAGGATGCCGTTACAGAGGAAGGAAAAATGTTCAAATCAGGCGTGAACAGGTCTCGTATAAACTTCACTTTCTTTTTAAAATCCCCCTGCGATTCTTGCGCTGGATAGCCTCATAAATATCCGAGAGAACATTTAGGGTCAGGGTCAGCAACTCCTTTTCCGAATCCTATTCCCCTGCGGCGGGAATCCCTCAGGGATGTGTGATCGCTCCGCTTCTCTTTATCCTTTACGTTAACGATTTATCCTCCCCTCAATACCTCTTAAACTCGACATCCACATGAGCCAGTATGCAGACGACACCGCCCTCTGGCTCTCTGACAGAGAGGTCGCCGTCCTCGAGAGAAGGGCCCAGGCTGCAGTCTCTTCTCTCTCTCTCTTGTCGCATAGCTATGAACCCCTCCAAATCCTCCTTCCTTCTCTTCTCTCAAGATAATAAACCCTAGCGTCAACATTTGCATGACCAGGAATCTCATCCCTCAGTCTCGCTCGACCCGTTTTCTTGGAGTACATTTCTCCAGCAATTTTAGATGGAATAATCATATAGATGTAATCCGCGCCAAAGCTGATAAGTAACTTAACTGCCTTAAAATCCTCTCTGGAGTCAATAGGTGCGAACCCCATGTAATCCTAAAACTCTATTGCACCCACCTTCGCCCTGTACTAACATACGCCTTTGCTGCCTGGGCTAACTGCCCCGAGGCGGTCCTCAGCCCGCTTGAAAGAATCGAACGAGCTGCAATCACATATGCCTATCGACTTCCTAATTATTATTCGAACTCCTATATCTATCGAATTATTGGACTAACACCTCTTCTCCAACACGCCTCTGAATTAGCACTTAATTACTTCAACGACCCTAAAAAGCCAGGAGACATTAAGGAAATACCCTCAAAACTAAATTTTAAAATTTACCATTGGGCGCTTCAAACAGAAAAACCTATCCTTTCCATAAAATTCTTGAACGCCTCGGAAAGAGTTGCACTTTAACTCCCCCCTGCCCCCCTTCTCAGCCCCTCCCCTCCAAGTGAGCTACCCTTTCTCACAACTCACCATCCGTAACCCAACGCCATTATCTCCATCACCACCAGAGAGGGGGGGCCCTCTCTCTTTAAAAAAAAAAAATCCAGACTCCCTCTCTTCTTCACATTCATCCCTGCGACCACCTCCCCCCTTGCGCAAGATTTTCTAATCTGCTTGGCATGTACCCTCAAACTTCCCTTCGCACATCCGTACTAACTCTCAGCTCTTACTTTCGCGCGCGGACACCTGATAAGGTCCTTCCTGCCAGCTGGATCCGCAAACGCCTTTTGACCTTCGGGGCATCTGTTCTTAACCCTTCCGATAGGATGTAAATATAATATCGACTTAAATCAAATCACACCTCACTGACTCACGAAGTAAAACGGCTAGGACCCTAAAGATTTCATTCGTCTTCGGCTCAGGTGGACCTAAATACTAAGCGCCCCAAAACACTGATACTAACCTAAATGAATTCAGGTTGCTTTCTCAACAAGGCCGCATAGATCCTTACTCTTTAATTAAACCCCTAAAGATAACAAACCTCAAGGGAGAGATCCTGGGGGGGAAACAGCACTCTCTCGGGCTGACTTCTCCCCCAAAGACATGAGTCACCTTCTCAGAGCTAAGTCATTAGCTTCATGAGGGTCTTGCTCTCTGCCAGCCCTCATGTTGGAAGGATCTCACCATGGTGGACGAGAGTAATGTGTCGGTCCACTACATGATAGCGGGGCCCACCATACCTTTAGCTCCTAATTTTAAACTTCGGCTCTAAACCCCTCAGCTAATGCGAAACGTTATAGTCAGTACAAAGTGATTTTGATTTCTTGAAAGAACACATGTATACTTGAATCGAAATGAATCACTTCTCGAGTTTCGTCAGTTCCTAAAGATAGTGGATCCTCAACCAATGTTGGTCTGGTCTTGCTTGGGGATTAATCTTTGATGTCAAAAAAAGTCATAGAAAATAGTGACTTCACTAACGTACCACTTGTATCACGCCCAGATGAAGATGAAAAGCTGGTGAGAGATGAGGTTGGTTTTTGCCAAATGACGCGTAGTTAACCTCTCCAAGATGTATGACAGTGGTGGTTTCATTTTTTTTTTCCAACAATGAGCCACGTTTGGCCCGATGAAAGACTAACCATATATGTCCGAACATATTTCGGCTTCACCTATCTATAAGCCAACCATCTGTTAGTGATAGCCCAGATATGGCTTATGTACGTGTCAACTAACAGTCATTGATGGCCGCTCAAAATTTGTTGCTTAGAGGAGGTCAAAAGCCAAGGAATGTTCGAATCTTCGACACGTGGACTCGTGGCGCTCGGAATCTGTCAGGAAAGAGCGATCCCCGGCTCTCCAATTCGGTCTTTTTACTCAGACGAAATTATTTGCATGATCAAACCGAAGTTACGAGCGGTTCACCCCAACGAGTACTCGTTGAAAAAGGAGGGTGAATGGGCACGAGGAACGAGATGGTTTCACGATGATCGTACTGCACAGGTACCGCGAGATATGGATGCGAATCACCGATTGCCCTAGATGTTTCGGGGATGGGAATGAGTGCATGAAGACGCAGATCAAGGTCAATGCATCCGACGACGGCGGTAAATACATCCTTCGCAACGACCAACTCCGCACCATCATTAGAGGAGATCCGTACAAAAAGTGGATAGAAGACGCTGCCGCGGCAAAGGTCAGCTCTCCTTCACTGTCACTTTTCCTCGGAACGAAGTAGATGTTCAAAGGATCTCTCTTCCTTCTAGGATAGAGATAATGTAGTACTTGTGGGGCTGAGATTCTACCCTTGTTCCCTGCAACCTACAATTACACTTAAGTACTGGTTTTCCTGATACAGTATCAGGCTTTCTTACCATCCTTCTACTTTTTATTATGCGCTCCATGAATATATATATGGAAAACATGAAATTATTATATGTTTTTTATAATATATGACTCAGGGAATCATTAAATGCTAAAGTTGAGCTTTTTATTACAGCAGTGCACGGGATTAGAGAAGGGTAGAATCTCAGCCCCACAAGTACTACATTATCTCTATCCTAGAAGGAAGAGAGATCCTTTGAACATCTACTCCTCCTTCTGAGGCTCTGGTACGGGAGTAGAAAACAGTAGGTCACTATGATACTCTTGAGTGCTGGTGAGGATGGGTACTCTTGTACTCGTCCAACCACCCTATAGTTCCGAAGAATGTAAAGGAATAGGAAATTCAGTATATCAATTCTCTTCAATAGTACTGATTGACTCTTTTAAATACGCATGAACGCCAGGGTAAAATTAACATAAATCTTACGTAAAATGAACGTAAACATGCTGTTTGGAATGCAAACGGGAATGTCAATTTTACGTAAAATTTACGTTAATTATATATCACCGTTTACGAATAATATAGGTGACATTTCTGCAAACATGTTGACATTTTCTTGACGATGGTTTGTGTAAAAATGAAATAAAATGGATAAAAAATTTACATTCAGTTTACGTAAAATGAACATAAACGTGCTGTTTGGGTAGTTATTACTTCTCCGAGATGTAGGACAGTTGTGGTTTCATAATTTTTTCTCAGTTTCCAACAATGAGCCACGTTTGGCCCGATGAAGGACTGGCCACACATGTCTGACCATATTTCGGCTTCACCTAACTGTTAGCCAACCATCTTTTTAGCGATGGCCCAGACGTGGCTTACATACGTGTCAACTAAAAGTCACTGATTGCCCGCTCAAAATTCCTTGACTAGAGGGAGTCAAAAGCCAAGGATATTTGAATTTTCCATATGTGGACTGGTGGCGCTCGGAATCTCTGGCAGGCTAGAGGGATCCACGGCTCTCCGATCCGGTCTTTTTGCTCGGACAAAAGTTTTTGCATGATCAAACCGAAGTTACGAGCGGTTCAACCCAACGAGTACTCGTTAAAAAAAGGAGGGTGAATGTGCACGAGGACCGAGGTGGTTTCACGATGATCGTACTGCACAGGTACCGCGAGATATGGATGCGAATCACCGAATGCCCTAGATGTTTCGGGGATGGGAATGAGTGCATGAAGACACAGATCAAGGTCAATGCATCCGACAACGACGGTAAATACATCCTTCGCAACGACCAACTCCGCGCCATCATCGGAGGAGATCCGTACAAAAAGTGGATAGAAGACGCTGCCGCGGCAAAGGTCAGCTCTCCTTCACTGTCACTTTTCCTCGGAACGTAACAGACAGAGGAAAGCGTCTCGATGAAATGCGCAGATCGACCTGAACACGGAGTGCGAGTATTTCCCATGGTGGATGTTCGAGGGCGCGGGGCTCACTTTCATCGTCATCGTTGCCGTTCTCGCCTGGCGATGCGGCATCTTCCAACTTCTCGAAAAGTTTGTCTCATTCTTTAATCTCCTTTTATTCATTTTAGTCGCAGAAATAGTCCTGCTATAATGGAAGAAGAAAATCCTGAATCAGAAGTACTTCACGGTCTGCGTAATACCTCGGGTGCAACTTCACTCCCTCAAGCAAAACACTTGGTGAAATAAAAAGACAGAGTGCATTTTACCCTCAAGTCGGCACAGCCATGCTGTCTTAAGCACTGCCAAGTGCTCGATGATACCGACCCGATGTTACCGTTAAAGAACTCGTTAATTCGGATTGATGGAAGTTAGGCATAGAGGCTAGGGTGCGTCTAGGTGCTCGGATGAGTGTATGAAATATAAAGGGGTGAAATGCATATCTTCTTGGATTGGTCCTCCATTCGGCCGTGTGGGATTCACATGGACTCTGGCATTTCGTCCAGATTCATTCCATCGGCCAACGCCCAAAACTATAGCCTCAAGCATCTCCTAGGGGCTCCTGTCATCAGGAGAGCCACCGAGCATATCATTGGGATATGCACAAGGTCCGCATCGTCATTTAGGGGAGGGTCAAAAGGATGAAGGTGCTGTTTTGGAAGGGACATTTTGTCTTCCCCAGATAGAGACGCTGCCTCTTTTCTTCTTCCTTCCCTTCTACCGGAGGAAATCTCCATGTACGGTACTGTACGGTAGTTATCCCTGAAATGCGAAGACATGAACGCGACGAAAGATTAAACCCTTTCGAAAATCATGAACGTCAACTTTAGTATAATGAGGGTAGATTTTTGAACAGAGAACTATCTGATTTAGGAGCTTCATTCCAGGGAAAATACATGTTATTTCCCGAAAATAAAGCTGCGTTATCGGATAGTGGCCGATTCAAAAATCCACCCTGAAGTTGACGGCTATCATTTTGGTTCTGATGATGGCTTTTTAGCCACGTTACACATGCCTCGAAACTTTTGGTGCATGCAGTCCACTCCAGGGCACATCATCTATTCAGTGTTGCCACATAACGGTGGAACATGCGAATACCACGGCAGAGTACCACCTTTTAAGGTGGCATTCTTTAGTTTCATATTTAAAAAGCATCAAGCCAATAAAAATTTGCATATTTTTGTTTAGCTTTAAAAATTAATGCACGAAAGGTTAACGGAGTCTTATCGACACGATGGATGCACAGGAAGCACGAAGAATACGAGGACACGACAAAATCGGAGCCGACGATGAAGAATAATCTCCCGTTCCAGAAGATGCAACCGGGGATAGATGATCCTGGTGTCTACTACCAATACGAGCCCGAGAACATGGGCTTCTCCGATCCATTCGACCGACAGATCCAGACGCAGAGTCAGTACCTGGACGAAAGAGGATAGGTTTTTCCATTTAGGAAGGTAACCGGTTGTGAATTTTGCTTCCAGGTTCTCACGATAATCCCGCATTCGAGGCGGACGACGTGGAGGTGTATCGACGAGGAAGCGTCCCTCGCAGATCCTCGCAAACGCAGTCTTCCTCCCAACCCGCCTATTCGCCGATCACCAGCCATCAGTGAGTCTTTCCCTCCTACGAGCCGGTAACCTAACGGTACCGGTACTGGTTCGGAATGTCTCTCTCCTTGGATCGTTCTGACTCCTCCTTCTGTTGCTCTGGATACGGTAACGATAGCGCTCGTGTCGAGGAGACGTACGTTTCCGTTCGAGTTCGCGAAAATGTAATGCATTGCGTGTCATCTAAGTGTTAAAATGAGTGGACACATGACACAACTTGGACATCCACTGTAGTCTCGATGTGATGTTTTTCAGTTCGTCCATAATGGAACCGGCCTTGACGGAGCTGTAAAGCTGTACGGAGTGACAATGCAGTTCTCCCATGCTTCTGTCTTCTTCCTCTCCCTGTTCATCTTCATTACCGACGGCGAGGATCGTCTTCGTTCTCAGACGCCTCAAGGAACACTGGAACCGTGTGCAAAAGACAAGACCTAAAAACCCGCTTTTCAAAGAGATTAGTACCCTCTAACCAAATATGGAAGCACACATCCCCACTTCTTGATGTGCCTTCTTGGTGAACAAGGTTTTGGAAATTTTGACATTTTGAACCGTGCACACAGAAAATTGAGTGCCTCGGTTTGCTGCATTTTTCTCGCGAAAAAATCTGTCTTGCATGTGATGCATCTTTATCGCATCGAATTTAGGATGAGGTTATCGCATAAAATTTTGGATGCGATAAAAACGCATCATATGGAGGATAATTTTTTCGCGAGAGTCGCAATTATCGTTTCATGAAGGGCCTATGAGTTGTTCCTCTTACTTTCTCGAGCCATCTCAGCTAGAATGTGTAACGGTAGACTACCACGTGCTTCTCTGGAGTTGTTCTTAATATACCACGGAAGATCTGTCAGGGGCTACTTTTCATCCACCAAAACATGTTCATTCCACATGATGTCCAGTTATCGCCCACTACCAATGGTTCATTTTTATTTTCCTCAACGAAGTCACTGAACGCTGTCACTGCAATCGCATATCCTTATAACAATATAATGAAAATATGCATTACACTCAATACGGAGGGTAGAGTCTGGCACCGAGTCTAAAGCAAAATCATTGATGAAATTTAAATATTGTGACGGATGAGGATGGCATCGAGAGGCTCGACTGAATGTCCGGGGTTCGGTGGTGTAGAAGTAGCACACCTGACCGGCAATCAGGAGGCCCGGGTTCAATTCCCGGCCGTTCCTTGGCTTCCTTCGTCCTCTCATGCTGTCCGTCTCCAACTTTCACCCCCGTAAAAATATAATATTAGGCATCCACGGTGATGAAGGGCTATGCTGGACCTTCAAAGGGTACAGGAAATACGCAGTTTCCGGACGGATTGAATTCGTACACAGTGGCTTATTTTTTTCAGATGAGTCAGGGGGGCAGGGCAGGACGAGTCTACAATCTCGAGGACAGGAGAGACTTTCCGAAAATATTTTCGGATGCACCAATTGATTCAAGATTATAGCCAACAATTACTGGTGTTTTTTAACGTCAGACAAACCTTATGTGGGAATATAGTGGCTTTTGAGCTTAGAGCCCGAGTACATAAACCTCATTTAGGGGAGGTAACGGGGCCTTGTAGCGAAGGAGCTCTTTTTCTCAATAGGAATCCATGTACTCTTAAAGGATTGTTAAGTGTCTATAGTTAACGGTCAGATCTTACCATACTGGCGATACGTGGTGCACGACCAACGCACCAAACGGAATACAAACAGCGTTTGAAACTGGACTCAATGAATGACGTAAGCGGTTACATCGGAATCCTTTCCAGACGTACGAGCTTCTCGCATGGGTTGGAAGGAAGGTGATAGGGCGAGGAAGCCATGCACTCCGGCAGTTGCGTGTGAATCCGTCGGCTGTTCATGCATTACCACGAGGGTTCATGGGGGGGAAGGCAGGAGGGAGCCTTCCTTGGCGCTCAGGTTAGAAGAGTAGATAAGGTTGGGTCGAAAGCGAAGTCCCGAATAATGGCGGTTCTAGCCCTAGGGCAAATGACGTCACTGGTATACACCAGCCCGACTGCTCCTTTCTCGCCATTCTCCGATGTAATGATACTACTTGAAGCATAATGTCCACATTTCGTAACCAATCGCTCATTAAAAAAACATCCCTTAAATTGAGGAAGGGAAAGCATCGAATGGAAAAGAGGCGGGGAGGATTCCGTACTGAAAAGTTTGAGGGGGATGCGACTGCAGTGAGAATATATTATTATTTACTGAAATTGTTAACATGTGTCATTTGCCCTTTTTACATGGCAATGAAAATAAGCGTTCATTGTCAGACTTCCTCACGACGAGGAGAAGTTAGCCCCCCCAACTTTCCGCTTAGCCCCCCATTAGACCCCCAACGTTCCGCTGAGCCCCCCCATTGACGAAAACCTGGCTACGCCACTGATCTATCTTCAGGAAACAATTTCCTACTAAGTCATGCAAATAATGTTTTTAGGATGGTTGCTGAACAGTTCCATTAGACGTGCTCTACCGACGGACATTATTTTTCGACATGGGTGGTCTGAAGGACAACTCGATTATGCGCTGATGGTGATGCTATTGCAATTAAGGCACTAGGGTTATTCATATGAAACCAATAAAGTCATAATTTTAACAAGGCAAATGAGCTTTGCCTGTGACAGTAATAATGATATGTTGCTTTGGCTCAGTTGGCACCTCTCTGAATGATTGCATTTATTTTTCAACAGGTGCTTGGAGTAACCCGATGATTTCAAAATGGTGGCGCATCTGGAAACTTTCACCGAAGAAGAAATGCGAGCTGTGGTCAGAATACTCATTTGGATTTTTTAAATTATAACTATTATTTTCATTTGAAACACCCTCGTAGCTTCCAAAGAGTCCCGTAGGGTACACTCTTGGGAACTCCTTAGGATGTTTCATGCGGGCGTCCCGATGAAGGCCTCGAAAAGAGATACCTGGGATGTCCGAATATGGTTCGCAATGGGACCCGGGAAGTGGAGATGCAAGAGGTGCTTCCCTGGGATCATTCCGTGTAACTGGGATCATGATTCAGTCAAGGCATCATTGGATACCTCATACTGATGATTGAAACTCACGATCAAGTATCATGAGGGACCTAATACTTGAAAAAGTTGTTAGATTCATCAGGTCTTATTAGAATCCTCACGATCCTCAAGAGAAGTTTGTGAGATCACATGAGAACTAATGAGTTTAAAATGCGATATATTCAACGGGTATAGAGACAAGGGAGAGCTAACGGACGATTTTCTCTGCTTACCTGCAGATGAAGATTTATGGATCAGAAGACAGGGAGGCAAGGAACCAGGAGACGACCGGATGGAGAGATTTAGACCTCCCCTATCATTGTTCCGGCAAATCAGGTGAGAGAAACTTTTGTGAGGAGCCTGGAATTAATCATGATGTACAGCTGACCGGATTCTCTTTCCGTCTCATTGAAAAGATAGATTAGAGCAAGAGAAAAGGGACAGGGCTCCATAAAATGTAAAGATGTCAGGGTAAGGGTGCACGAATCTGATATACTCAGAAACGAACCATGATAATGTGTTATTTGGCGCACATACAAGATGTGTTCAAAAGTTCGGGGGGTTGATTATCTCATATCTATATCTTGAATGAGATCCGCGATCTGTTGCTGCAAGAAACGATAGGCAAGAAAAAGGCAAGAAACGATATAGCGTGCTTGAATATCCCCAGGAGTGACAGGACTATGTCTAGTATTATCGCCATACACCCTGTGCAGTCGGACGCGGCACAGCTGATCGTCGAAATCCGGGACGGACGACTTTCCGGATCATCAAATTTTGCTTTAAACTCGGGAAAACGGCCTGAGAGACTTACGACATTCTCCAAGCAGCTCGCGGAGAGTCTACTCTAGCATGAATCAAGGTTTTCATGAGGCATGAGCGATTCCATGATGGCCGGGAATCGACCGAAGACGACGACGCCCTTCGAAGTCACGATCGGACGAAGGCGTCGAGCGTGTGAAGAGTCTGGTGCATTCCGACAGGATGATCACGAAGAGGTGACGGAGGAGACGAACATGTCGGTCGGCACCGGACATGCGACACGTCTCCGCAAAGTTTCTTCTGCGCCTTCTCACGAGGGCATGGCCCCGATCCTTAACGATTCCTTTGCCTCTGTGTTCACGAGCGAATCCGATGACGTTCTGACGATGACGGAAGTCACCTCGGCGTGTGTCGAGGATATAATAGTCACCGAGGAAGGGATCATGAGTAGGATAGAAAAGCTGAAGGCAGGCGCTGCCACCGACCCCCCGAAGGGATTCCGGCTAGTGTCATCGAGGAAGGAAGTATCGGAACTATTAAGAGCAATATTCCGGAGTAGTTTTACGCATGGCAAAGTGACTCGAGACTCGACACTAGCTTATGTTGTAACGATCTTTAAGAAGGGAGATGAGAGCAATCTGAGTATTCATAGGCCAGTGAGTCATACGAGTATTCTGGGGAAGATCATGGAGAGCATCACATCACATCCTGAGGGATTGTATCTCAGATCTCCTCGAGGAAACACGCCCATCCGGGACCGTCAGTACGGCTTTAGGAGGCGACGGAATAGTCTTACCGACTTGTTACAGTTTTGCGATTGGGTGGAGGAAGAGAGACGAAGGGAATCAGGTGGAAATTGGCTATTTAGATTTCGCAAAAGCTTTCGATACCGTTCCTTACCAGAGGTTGCGGGCTAGATTGAAGGCGCACGGGATCCGCACGTGAGGGCGAGTAGCTAGATTAGTATAATTGCTTGTCGGGAAGAAGAGAGCAGCGAGTAATGGTTAATGGAGAGGTGTCGACGGAAGTGAGAGATGCAAGAGGTGTCCCTCAGAGCGGGGTCCCGGGACCGCTTCTCCTTCTGGTTTGCATTAACGATTTAGATGAAGGCTTAGCGCATAAAATAAGCAAATTTGCCGACGACGCCAACATTGGTTTCTCCATCGGGGAGGGTGGGGATGGGGGGACAGGGCGAGAGCCGAGCAGGATTAAAAGCTTTTGGACAAGTGGGTAGGAAATGATTCACAAGGTTTAATAAAAGCAAGTGTGAGGTTCTTCACATCAGTAGTAACAATAGCTGCAAGCTGTGCTTATCCCCCAAGAAGGAGACTGAGATCAGGAATTAATGCCATTCAAGTCCTTCTAAGCTCTTAGTTTCCCTGGCTTCTTAATATATATTCATATGATGTTCCCGTTTTAGTTGCATGGAATCTCTTTGGAGGTGAACTCTTGCCCCTCTGAAAAGTAAAGAATGTGTGGAAAATCACCATTTGGAGACTCCACTCCGCATTACTTCTCCACATCTGGTTTCCCTTGACACGTTTGGGTCATAACCTGGGCGACATGATATTATGTGTCATGAGTCTTGACGCACTTCAGTGTGTCATTTGACAGATCTTACAACATCAGTTGACACATTTCGTCATCACCAGCCTCATGCACAGCATTTTGTGTTGCCCAGACGATGGCCTTTCATGACCCTTTCATTTGAAACTGAAAAAGTTTTTGAGTGTAAGCTTCGCCAAGAGGATCGGGCCGAAAGTCAATCGCCTCCTTCTTGCCTTCTTCTCACGTCCGGATGACGTGGACACATCGTTTCCGGATGGGTGGGAATCGTCGATGACGCTGCTGAGCTCTTTCCTCCGTGAAGAGGAGATACGTTTGAAGATATGGGATGAATGCAGTGAGATATGGGTATGGATGTTCCCCAACAAGTGTCTCTCTGTCATCAGGGGAGATTCAGTGTCTTCGTTGTCTTTCCATCATGGCCGTGCCCAACGTCTTCATTTTCCTTTTCCTGTCTTCCCTCCAAGCCAGTCTTGGTGAGTTTCAGGATTTCCTTATTCCCTTCAGTCTTCAGTGGTGAAGGTGTTGGGACAGTCTTACTCACACTGTTGACTGTATGGGAGTGCTCTGGAATAATAAAAACAATCGGCTCCTCACGGTAATAGAAGAGGTTAAAGAAAAGGTTTTACCGACGTTCTCTCCACATTATACCGACTTCCCTATTACCTAATTTCCTCCAACTTTATTGTTTGTGTTTCTACATCAGTGGAAAATTGAATGGAGTGTCAGAGGCTCTACCGAAGCGATTGATCAATTGCGGGGAACTTTATGCTGACTACCCTGTACGCCCAACTCGAAAAAATGCAGTCCTTTCTCATCAGCTGATTCACCAGTCACGAAGGGTCTACCAAACTCGAGTGGAGTGTAATGAACGTTCGATATGTGCAGCTTTCGGGAAGTCGAGGTGTAGAACCGACTGACCTTAGTATTCGTGTTTTTTAAATAGGAGCCTAGAGTCTTACTGATCCATTGCGATCGTTGAGAGAATTTTGCTCGATCGTGAAAGAACAAGGAAGGCAGAATCGATTTTGTTGGATTCTGCCGGATAACGTGTACGCACGAGATTACTTTTCTTGCTTTTCGCTGTAGCAAATATACCTCCAGTTATACAAATATACCTTCTCTCTGCTTGCGTCTCAGGTATAAGCATGTGACGCATTCCAATATATAGCCTATTTGCGAAAACGACGCGACCGGGGGAGTTTCCGTCCTAGCACCAGGCCTTCATCGATCTTCAGCCTTGCGAGAGCAGACTCTTCACCGCATTTTATGGTCTGTTTAGGTCATTCGCAGTATCAAAGACCCATAGGTCAGGGCTGTATCTTGAGGGTATGCATAGCTTACACCCAAATAAAATGTTGCAATAGTAGCGTTAGCGCAAATCTGCTTATAGGAAAAGACAGGGTTGCCCTGTACAAAGGGCTAAAAACCAGGGGGGGTTTTCTAGCTAGTTTGCCTTGTCTCGTTTGTTACAATGAATTCCTCTGGAACAGGTGAGCTCAGTCGAAACGTCACGACGTGGTTCTGCGCTACTTGAGAGGATATATGAGAAAAATAAAAAAGGAAGACATCAGTAGAGCTCAATATACTTCGCCTAACAGTCCCCCCCCCCCCCCCCTCCGTCATTCCTTTAATTCGGTGATACTCTTGATCATTTTTCTAAATAAATAAATTTTTTCTTAAATCAGGAATTGCAAACACAGCGCTGCTATTGGTCTCATTGAACACATCCCCTTTCCAATCATTCAAAGAGATACCGTCCCCAAACATCCCCATACGAATGAGTCTTCATCACTCATAAAAGTATACACACATCAGACTGACCCTATGAGCGCCAATGCATCCACATCCCACAGACATCCCATGAACTTTGTGATTCTATGAAATCTGGAGATATCCCGATGACCTGTCCCGGGGATGGTCACGGGATGGTTTCCTGGGATGTCACATATACGTCTAACAGGATCTTTGGGCAAATCCAGAGGATGCATGTAGCACAATTCCTCCAGCAAGTTGCGACTTTTTCTCGACTGTCCTTACATCTCCCAAACATGCATCTCCCAAAAATACAATCCAATTGTACTAAGTCCCATCGCTCATCAGGTTTCTAAATGTACTCGTATTGCTTGCCTGTAATTTCTTTCACTGGCAGACGGAAATTTAAATTTAAATCGTCAACCTCCTCCTGGGACCTATTTCATGGAATTTACAAGCTAATAAATTTCTAAGTTACAAGTGTTTAGCTTGTAATTACAAGTCCTTCATATTTTGAATTCATAAGCCTCGTACACTCTTCAAAGAAGGGTCTTCATTACGGCCTGATCCATAGCTTCGAAAATTCGAGTTCGACAATCCAAACACGCTCCCAACAGGATATTGAAGCATGATAATTATCCAATGTTGACCCGAAGTGAAAAAAAAACTCATTTTCAGTTACTTTTTTTTGGCCCACCCTGTATATCTTCATTAGTCCTGGCGCACACACTTGCAGACAAATATTTCCGTTTTTTTCCCCCAAGCGAAAGTAATGACTTTGGGCTAATGACCTCTTACCACTATTATTTCCAATGAAAAAGTGTTCATGTGACAAATTATGAGCTTCCCAGCCACTCTCATAGTGGAAATATCAAGATGGCTGCCAATAACAAGATGCCTTGTGGGTCTGCGCCAGCCCCGTGTCATTATTTTGATTTTTCCTTACGTTAGTGTTTCATGAAAAATAACATTGATTCTACTTTGGTAACATTTTCCAAATCACAAATCACGTAAAATGTTATTTTTTCCTTCTGAAATCTTAACAGTGCAGAGCTTTGAAAAATGTGCACATGTATGCGTAAGTTACATTGGGTCTCAAAGGTTTCTTTGCAAAAAGGTTCCTTTGTATGATTTGGCAAAAAATATGGACATTAGGATACAAGCTACAGCAATCCAGTAGTTCTATTCTTTCAGATAGACAAAAGTTGTCCTCAGATGGCACATTTTGAACCGGCTGAATGAGAATGGCATCGACTTGGTCGGTTACGATAGCCTTCTCGATCGCTATTATGAGCTCAATCCACTTAGTTTCACGTCAGCCGAACGTAGCCCTATGCAGAAAGGAAGGATGCGAGGGAAAGACAAAAGATTTACTGAATACTCGGATTCTCTCTGTGCCCGAAAAGAACAAAACTGTTTCGAAGAATTTCACACCGCAGGCTGAGATCTACAAAACATGAAAGGGAAGAGGCGTACCCAACGTGAAAAAATCAGAAATTACCATTAAATAAAGATATTAATCCTGAATTGCGATGTTATCCGTGAAAAGGAAAAGAAACTGTATGTAAAACAATAAATTTTGGTTGAAGCGAATATTAGCTCGAATTCCGATGCATTTTCACAAGTGACATTCCGTGCATCCTTTGGAAACCTTCAGTCCCTATGGCCACGTGTGTGGACTAATTCTCGTTTTCCAGTCTATGGACCAAGGACAATAACACGACTACCAAGTGTCTATACCACGTATGTATACATTGGAATCTACTGTGCTCGGGACAACTCGAATGGCCAAATATATGTCGCTCAGGACTGACGTGGTTATCACTTATCCCTGTTGGGTTTTCAAAAAATGGACAGGCAAAGTCTCTATAATCTTGAATGCATTAAGAGTTACTGTATTTGTTACTGTATTTGCAATCAAACTCTAAAGATGCCATCCAGTAATGCCTAGCCATATATTTTTGGAAGTTTTCCCGAGCGTGCTGCGAGCCTGAGAGGATGTGATCGAGTCGTAGACAAGATCATCTGTTGCACAAAAGTGAAACCCTAGATTGGATGTAACCCACACTTCTGGTTAGTTCCCTGCAGCTCAGTCTTTAACTCCAAGCAGCAATAACGCTCCACTTCCGTTGGGTTCACTCAGCACCCTTCGTTAGGTCCATTGGACACTGATGGATGCGAAAACCATTAACGCCGATGTAATATCTCAGTATTCATAGAAAATTTATAACGTGATGCAGACTTCATATGGGATTGCAACAGTCAACAAGGAGCATTACTTTCTGTTTCAATCATCTGCATGGGTTGTATAGATAGACCTAACACTTTGCTTCAACGGAATTATTTGTTAGCAATTTGTGAATAATAAATTTTTCCATCACTGTATTCTCATCACTTGGCTGAAGTTTGCTTCTGTGGGAACCTTCTTCGCACCAATTCTCTTTCCTATCAGAATCTAAGATATTAAGTACTCCCGCTGGAAAAAGATCAATGATGTTTAAATGTCACTGGAAAACTCGGCCAGAAATCGTTATCCAAGAGTAAGACTGCGAGAGTTGTAATACATTGTAATACATAAGGATTCTTATTGTAAAGTCATAGTGGCCTGTAAAGAGTGAGGAGCCGAAGCATCATGAGCAACTTTTGACTTTGACCAGGCTTGGGAGAGATGAAAACTCCACCGCTTTGCGACGATTTGGATGTATGCAAGCATGATTTGACAGCGGCAGAGGGAATCCTGGAACCATGCGTGAACGCGAATCAGGAAATCCCTAGGTTTCAAGTCTGTCTTCATTCTTTCCCTCCTAGGCTTAGAAACTCTTTCCATGGATGAAATACGAGTTTTCTCTGGTTCTAAGGAAATAATTTTCCACGCGTGCTCACTGAGTGGCCCTGTTGTGGAGATTCTTCCCATGGAGATTATTACGCAAATTGTGGGCCATAAAAAATTCGATACTTTCAGGATTTTTAACTTTTCCTTCAACCCAAGTAACACAAAACATTCCAGCAAGGTTTTATCCATTTTCATTCAGCTTTTCCGCAATGCCACGACCGATGGCGAGCCCAGCTTGACAAACGAATGGAAAGGATTAAGAATGTTGATGATCGATGTTGCTTAAATGTGTAAATGTTCAAAATCTCAACGTT